CCCCGGCTCTAGTAGGGGCTGGTTAAGTTTGCCTCAAACTTTCCTTGGAAGGTGGCTGCAGCCTAGGGAAGCATCCCCCTCCAACAGACAAGATTTTTTTTCTAGTGTGTCATTAGAGCTTGCAACATTAGGAGTGGCTGTTTCACCAAATTGCTCATGTATCAACTATATTGCACATTACATGGTGAGATGTTGGTGATTGGCTGGCATATGAAGCTCAACAAAATTCATCTTGGCCACACCAAGACTCTTCTTCACCACTTCCACTATCTCCTGACACTTTGAAGGGTTTCAAACAATGACTCAATCAAACTCACTGTCATATAGTAATTGTGGGCCTCCCAAAAGCATATACAATAGATCAGCTGAAGAAGGTAAAACATGTACACTTCTGACCAGTGCCCAAGACTGCTCAAATAGTCAAAACTCATAAAAATTCTGTCACAAAAAAATACAGATCATGAAACCCCTCAATGGCAACAGTATGCTCTAGTGTGTTATATATATATTTGTTGTTTGTGATTAGAGTTAGCCATAAAGTTTCACTTTGGAATCAGGGCCTGGAAGGCCTTGTATACTGCTAACACATGCTGGTGATTGGCTAGAAAATGAAGCTCAACATTGAAATTTATCTTGCCCACACCAAGACTCTTCTTGACCACTTCCAGCAGCTCCTGACAGTGACACTATGAAGGATTTCAAACATTTGCTCAATTAGACCCACCATCATATACATAATAGTGGGATTGAAAGTTGATTTTTAAACAGGATTCTACAAAAATTAATAAGCTCAACAGGTTCATAATTTTGGTTTTCCGGAACTTCTAATTGCTCTTTGTTTGAAACACTTATCAAAAATTCTGTGGAAATCCTGATTTTGTGTAAAATGTTGTTCAAAAATCAAATTTGAAACCCCTTAACAATTTCAGGCCTCTTGAAAGCATATTCAATTCAGCTCAAGAATGTAAAACATGTACACTTCTGAAAATTCTGAATTCAACTGGAAGACTGCTGAAATATCCAAACCTCATAAAACTACAGAAATTGACACCCCTCAATAGTAATGGTATGCTCTTGTGTGTTGTACATCTTGGCTTTTTGTGATTGGACTTAGTGATACAGTTTCACTTTTGAAACAGGGGCTGCAAGACCTTCTCTACTGCTAGCCACCAGTCATTTTGCTTCCAACCTTGCCAAGCAAAAAAAAATCAATTGATCCAAGAAGTATAAAAGGACACCTCAAAATCCTGTTTGCAACAAATTTGGCAACCAAATCACAAATTCACTTAGCATGCACTACTCTTATCTGCAATTAGCAACTTGCATAATATGCAGTTTACAAGTTTACAAATTGCACGCAACTGGAACTGTCAAGGAACCTGGATTTGTAGGAACAGACTTGGAGAGGTCTTTTGTAGAAGAGACCACAACTGCTACAATCAACACTGCCCAAAGGCTTCCCAACAAGGAAAATGCATCCAAAACCCCAAAGCAATCATTGCAGGACACAATTTCAGCTAGTTCATCTCAATCATTGCTGGAAGGTAAGAGCAGACTGATGGTCTATTTTTTCTTTATACAATTGCACTATACATGCATCAAGGTGTGGCAAATAGTCATACTTGACAGATTCACATTTTTTTTCTTTTTTTCACTGGTTGGAGCAGCTTTCCATTTAGAAAACAAAACTTCAACAAAGGGCAAGCAGCCCAGGATGAAGACTGGTCAGTATATCACACACCTGATTCTAACATTTCAAAAGGGATGTGTGTATTTTTCTGATAAAGCTACTTTATATCAATCCAATGTAGAATTGGAGAAAATTACGGAAGAACATTACAAAAATACTATGTTAAATTTTGACGATTGGAGCTCCATTTTCTTCAAGCTGAAACTCCCCAAGGTTGAAAATTCTGCAGTTGAAAAGAAAATGGAAGAGGTCAAAAATGCAATCTCAAATCTCTTTCAAAAAAGAATTACTGAGCTCCGAGGGCAGCCATATGAATTCAAAACAACCAAATCAATTATTTCTGGAGATTTTGCTGCATCAATCACAGTTAGATGGGTAGATATGTGGCTGAGATCTGTTTCAGATATTGAAAAGACATGGGAGTTGACAGAGTTGAATAATAAAGAAGAAGCAATTCCATTTATCAGACATGGTATTGATCTCATGATTGATTTCTTCATTGACTTGCACAAGCTTGAAATTGTCCCCAAAGAGTTACTCTCTGATTTCTTGAACAAGGAGGGTGGTTCAAAAATTATATCATCTTATGCTTATAACAGATTCTGTCAACCCAGATTAGATGTGGGCAATCTTTACATGAACTTCAATGTGAAATTAAGTCTTCTTGAATGCCCTTTCACAGAAAAGATGTCAGCTCTTTTAAAAAGTTAGTCAATAAACCTATGCATATCAAGAATGATCAAAAAGATCTAAAAAGCTGATATCTATGGTTCTTTTATTTGTATTTCCTTCCAAACTCACAGCCTTGGATGATTTTACATGGAAACAAATTGAACTTGACTATTTGAAGGCTCAATTCATGGCATATTCTAAGGATCCTACACAAACACATCGTGATACCAACACACCTTCCATTGAATACATCTTTAATGAATTCCTTGAACTTGAATCTTCAAAAGCCATGGGTGAAATATCAGTTGAAAGAGTGAGAGACTTGATTAATGATTCTATGAATTATCTGAAGAAAGAAATAAATGTGGATGATGCATACAGGTTCCCCATTGAATCAAAATCCTTGATTGAGACAAAGCTTATATATGATATGATTAGTTTCATTCTGCGTTATCATCAAGGAATTTCAGATGAAATTGAGAAACATAATCAGGGGACAAGATTCTACATTGACATATGTGCCATTGAAGCATCAGTTGGTCTTCTTTCCAGTGTCTACCACTCAATATATGTCAGGGCTAAAGAATATCAGAACCGCTTGGATCCGATCCCATGGAAGGCTGATTTCTTGGTAGACAAGAATGAAAACAGAAATATTTCACTGTTTTCAGTGAAAAAGAATGAGGTATCAGAAATAAGTTATCTGTTTGATCAAGATTTAAAACCCAGACTACCTGAGCTGTATGAGAACAAATCTGTTCAATTATCCATTCAGAAAGCCAAATACCAGATGTCCAGATGGCACTACCTATTTGATAAAGTTTTGAATTCAAATCCTCCAGAAGATCTTGATCACCAATTTTTAGCTCTACTTCGACACTACCCAACAGCTTATACAATCATTCTCAATCAATTTGAGAAATTATTCCAGGAGAGGCTTTCAAGAGAAACACTGAATGAAAGAATGAGAAACATCAAGTTTTATGCAGCATCTAAAACAAATTGAGCAGTTTTCTGCATTGGTTAATTTGGGGGTCAATACTAGATTTTCATCACCTACTTGTTAAAATTAGATTTTGAATTGATGTCCATTATACTTTATAACTGCTGCTTGCTTTCTTTTCCAATCACATCCTGTCACCTACACTGATGGCTCCCCAGAGTGGAATGCATTCAGGCCTTGGTTCACATCCAGGAAGCCATATTGAATTTGACAAGCCTAGTTGAATTATGACTGATAGGAGAAGAGTCCTGTGTACTATGTAACATGATTCTAACTGTTATCTTTAGAGATTTGGTTCTGGAAATGAAATAAATAGAGACTGATCAGAATTTTTAATTCTCTGTTGGAAAATCTTGGGGTATCCACATCCAAAAATCACCAACCCAGCTCTCAGACATCAAGGGGGCAATTCAACCTGACTGACAACACGGTATCAGGGCTTCGTCGGCAGGAAGGATCTCCTTCCTGTCATGAATGAGTAAGTACCTAGTTGGCTGGAAGGAGGTACCTGATTATACTTGATTGACCAGAAGGATCTTCTTTTGGTCATTGAGGTGTAAGTACCTTGTTGGCCGGAAGGAAGTCCTCCACCAACCAAGTATCGGTACCTTGTCAGCCAGAAGCAAATCCTTCCGGTGGACAAAGTACTGTTGGTCCTGAGGACGAGGCCCATTATAAAAAAAAACATCTGACAAGCTGACATCTGTAATTCTTTTATTTTTTGTTTTCTTCCACACTCAGCCTTGGAGCAAAACAGTATCCAGTGGGGATGAATATGGGATCGGGATTCTAATTTGGCCTGACAAGCAGGGGGAGCTTTGGTGCGAATGGCTTTCCGTGAGGAAGGCTTGTGTTAAGAGAGTGCGCATATGTATTTAAATTGCGCATTATCTTCATGATGGAGATCAATTTCTTCCGACATTCGCCTCCGCTGGGGTTAATATCAAGTCAGACACACCACCCGGCGGTGTGTGCAGTCACGGATCCTTGTGGGTAAGGAGAATGAACCGCTTCAACTGCAGCTTATATTCAACTGGAGTTTGAGACAGTAAGATCAAATAAACGGTCAAGAGATGTCATTCATCTTGCCCCAATAGTGTACCGCCCGCAAATCGACACATGCACCATGCGGGAGTGTGATTGAGATGAAAGCTTTGAGTGAAGTGTTAAATCTTTTGACCAGACCTTTGATCAAACCCAGTCAATCATTTACGTCCATAAGCACTTCAACTAAACATCCCACCAATACCACAGTATGGCTGCTTATTCTTCTCATCGCGCATGGAGGATGACACGCGAAAGCGACGGTCATTTCATGATGATAAAAAAAATCGATTCAGATATCAGCAGAGAGAGAGTAAGAGAGGGATCAAGTCGAAACGACTCTTTACAATGTTGAAGTAAGATTAATTGAGGTTGTACAGCGGATGTGAATCAATCGGATTCCTCCGAGGATGAGGCTGTCTTGACCTGTGAAAACAAACATCAAAGAGCGACTGATCAGGCAATAAACTTTGTGAAAAAAAGGGGGGGGTGTTACTTACACCTTGACCAGGCCCACCAAGTTCTCTAGTCAACCCATCGAACGGGAAGGTCCGAGGAACCTAAATGACATTTATTGAAGAATTCGACAGATAATCAATCGTCATATTTTGATGGAAAACGACTGGGTTTGCAGGTTTTTCTTAGACGACTTACGACTGGTGAAGAAGGAGCCATGTAAGCAGCTGAGACTAGGATGACACCCAAGCCAGTAAAGGCGACCGCCAGATTGATCAAGGCACTAGGGACCGAAATGCGATGGACATCAGGGGCCCAGATACCCATCATTTCCTCTTCAGCATGTAGCTAACGATTCCGAATGTTTTTTTTGGTCAGTTTTACAATGCAATAACGATCAAGAGGTTATCTGAAACAAAAGAATTCCGATTTCCAGCATAAATAGGCGAGTTCCACTTACAGGTTCGTTGAAGTTACATCTCTCTTGAGGGTCGTCCCATTTGGCATAAGGGTTCCTCCACTGTCGAGAGAGAGATTCGACTCGAGGGTACCCCAGGCCGTCCAATTGAGGGTCGGGCTCGTCGAGGGGTTTATACTCGTAGGCGGTCCTCTGAGGGGGGACAGAGATTTCGTTGGTGGGCGAAATGAGTTGAGGGGAGGCCGAGGCATAGGCCCGTCGAGAGATGTTACTGGTGAGCAAGTTCTTGCTGGTCCGAAGAGCACGACTGAGTGGAAGATGGGCCATCGTTCCAGTGAATCCGATTGTTCTCGATTTGGTGGTGGAGAGGAGAGGGGACCACTCGGGATCCGGATGACCTCAACCGAACTCGGCGGGGGGTACATCCTGCTGCGCTGCCGGTCCAGCTCCAGCGTGCTGCGGTAACATCAGCTCAACCTGCAGACAAAACAAACAGGCCAAATCTCCATCATCACCCACCACACATTGAACACAGTAATGAATACTGACAACTCATCAAACATTTAAGAAGATTGAATAGAAAACAAATTTACCAGCTTGAGAGACTTCCGGACAAAGCAGACAGTACAAAGCAACCACTAAAGTAATCACAAGCCTGGCACAAATGTGCACTATATTTGAAAGCTTCAAGCAGTAAAACTAAGTACAAAATATCTATTTCTATGCATCTTCAGATGGGAACCATCTATCAACAACATAATATGCACAATCATTATCATGGAAAGTTGATCAACATCCATCCACCTATGTGCTTCTACTTGAGATGACACTTTTTACATAAAAGGATAAATAGTCAAACCATAAAAAGTCAAAATTCTGCTACCAAGTCACTCCCTCAAAGGACATAACCTGTCTAAAGGCATACATCAATCCTTCTCCTGAAGGGTATGCCCTTAGACAGGTTTGAATGTACTCATTTCTCTAAAAAAACTCTCGACCCAATCTTGATTTCTTGCCAATTTTTTCTTGAAAGCTACAAGACATATTATGCAACTCCATTTTTAAAATGTAACTATGTTCAGAGTCATAGGGATTCGATTCCTCACTTATAGCACCAATATCTTCGTTAATGTCTGCAAGCATCCCTGATATGGTCCTGATGATGATGATGGTGATCATCATTCTCCCTGGACCAGGAGATAACTGAGGTCTAAGCTTGACTCAAGGCCTTCTTCACAGAGGAGAGCAACAAAATACCATTGGATGTGTCCTCCTCCCAGCCCTGATCACCAGAACGCACCCCCCCCCCCCCCAAACACCGCAACCTTTTTTCAGTTCCCAGAATTGGTTATATTCTAAGAATATGATATAACATCAAGATATTTAAAACACAATGTTCAACCAAAAAAAAAAAAAAAGACATGAGATAGGGGAAGAAAAAAATGATTAATTTCTTTCAGAGATTTTTCCCTCTTTTTTTTTTAAAAAAAAAGGTAGAAGTAATAAATAAATAAGTTTAATGAGCATCGCGTTTCCTAGGAGTAGAGCGAAGGATATCGTCGACTCTGAGGATCATTTCTGCGGCTTCACTAGCAGATAAGACGACCTGTCTCTTAAGCTTATATGATTCATAGACACCCAAGTCTTCCATCGACCCGATCTTCCCTTCTTGCATATCTACACATGTAAAATCAGACCAAAAAAAAGTGATTAAGATGCTATCAAAATTCTGGGTGGGGGGTTTATAAAAAGGAAGGAAAGGAAATAAACGGACCAAGACCCATAGTAGATTGACCAGCGTAATGAGCAGCCCGAAGTTGGGCGACCAAGTCGCTGGAATCGTACCCGGCATTATCGGCCAAGATGGTAGGAAGCTGACGAAGAGCATGAGCGAAGCTTTCGACGGCGATTGCCTTTTTGCCATTTGTCACTTTCGCCTCATCGTCCACCGCATTAGCCATGAACATCTCCACACATCCGCCGCCATAGGTCACCCGGGGCTCCTTAACGGTTTGCGAGATCACCGCTAAGGCATCGTGTAACGAGCGCTCCGCTTCGTCGATCATTTGCGCCGTCGCTCCTCGGATCACTACCGTACATGCTTCCCCGGCCGCAACTCCTGAGAATTTGATGAGCTTGATTCACATTATGGTCCAATCCGATTCATATAAGATCAGTCACATTCTTAACTAACACACAAATAAGTCTTCAAGACACACTCACCACATCCTCTCCAACCATGACCTCCTCGATCAGATCACAATGTCCCAACTTAACCATCTCAGGTTGATCGAATGTGCTCGCGATTTCACCTCCAGTGACAAGAGCCAATCGTTCGACACCTTCGAAGTCAGCATGTTCGATGCACATGATACCCGCCTCGGCGAAGAGAGATTCGGGATAGTTGTAGACCAACTGTCGGTTCACGAAGCAGTTGATCCCATGGGCTTGGATCTTGGCCACTTTGGCTTTCATTTTTTCCTACATCATCAATCATCAAACATTTTTTTGGTGTCAGCCAGAAGTAGAAAATAAAAAGCTGAGACCTTGAGTGTGTGCTTGGACATACCTTCTCAGCTCGCTCGAGTTCGGCTAATGCCGCCGTACCACCGACACGGATTCGGGCACCAAAGACTTTAACCTTATCGGTATCCATAGCTATGACATTCGCAAACCTCATTGGTTAGTGATCATTTCAACTCAACAGAGGTGGACCTTGAAAGACATTAACGAACAAGTATTGGAGATCAAGATTTTGGCATTCTTCAGAGACTTGTTGCCGTTTGTGCTGATCTTCTTGTCCAAAATAAAGCCCTCATCAAGGTAAGAGTCTGTGAGTTGACCGCCGGGTTTTTTGATAATCTGGATATGGTCTAAATCGGTTGAACCCTAATATATCGACAACAATT